CAGCTACAAGAGACACCATTCTGTGGATTTACAAGTTGGGGGTAACGCATGTCCCAGTACAGCGACCCTAAAAGCAACAGAATGGAACCAGCAGTGTTATACGAGGAGGAGGACCTGGATGGCCGGGATGCATTAAGGAAAGGCATCTGGTACCATGCCCTGGATAATGTACAATACCAGCGGGGTGAGAGTTTCCCCAGTGAAGAGCAGCGGTTGCAGAAGCAAGTGGCCCTGCGGATGCCCTTCCTGGGAGAGCAGCCCCTGGAGGAATGGGTGAAGGAACTAGAGCACCGGGTATGGCAGGAGCTATGGCTGGAGGATGCCTACCAGGCACTCTGGTGGTATATGGCACAGTATATACCCTGGCCAGCCAAGCATGACAAGCCAGAGGGAGAGGAGTTTGATTGTCCAGGCTTGTTATGGGAGTCCTTTGCAGAGCCTGACTTCGGGAGCCCTGCGCAGACCAGACTTCAGGACATTTTCTACGAGAGGGAGGCTAGGCATGACTGGGATGACCCCCATGAGGTAGAGCAGGACCTGGCTCATCTAGCAACCCTGGAGTGGGAACTGGAGCCGGACTACAGAGATCTCTTCCACTCCATTGGGAAGGGTCAGCAGGACAGCAAGGTGACAGACCCAGATCCAGACCCATTCAGCTGGGAAGATATTGTAGAGATTTACTGGGAAGGACCCCAGATGGCCGGTGGAGATGGGACCGAGGTCTCTCCACCGGTCCTGCAGGGAATTGGGAGCCCAGTCTCCATTCCCCATTGGCAGGCTGAGTTACAGGGGGCAGAGAAAGTTGGTCCTGTCCCCCAGCAGCAGAGTGAATTGCAGGGAATTGGGAGTTCAGTCTCCATTCCCCATTCCCCTACCAGGCGCTCTGGTGGTATATGGCACAGTATATACCCTGGACAGCCGAGCATTACAAGCCAGAGGTAGAGGAGTTTGATTGTCCATGCTTGTTATGGGAGTCCTTTGCAGAGCCTGACTTCGGGAGCCCTGCGCAGACCAGACTTCAGGACATTTTCTACAAGAGGGAGGCGAGGCATGACTGGGGTGACCCCCATGAGGTAGAGCAAGACCTGGCTCATCTAGCAACCCTGGAGTGGGAACTTGAGCAGGAGGCAGAGAAAGTTTGTCCTGTCCCCCAGCGGCGGAGTGAATTGCAGGGAATTGGGAGCCCAATCTCCATTCCCCAGCGGCAGGCTGAGTTACAGGGGGCAGAGACAGTTGGTCCTGTCCCCCAGCGGCAGAGTGAATTGCAAGGGAATTGGGAGCCCAGTCTCCATTCCCCCGCGGCAGAGCAATGTACAGGGAATTGAGAGCCCAGTCTCCATTCCCCAGAGGCAGAGCAATGTACGGGGAATTGGGAGCCCAGTCTCCATTCCCCAGTGGCAGCCTGAGCTACCGGGGGCAGAGACAGGGCTGTTTAGCCAAAGGGGAGACAGTCGGTCTCCACCTCCAGCAGCAGAGCTGTGTATTCAAAGGGGAGACAGTCGGTCTCCCCCTCCAGCAGCAGAGCTGTGTATCTAAAGGAGAGACAGTCGGTCTACCCCTCCAGCAGCAGAGCTGTGTATCCAAAGGGGAGACAGTCGGTCTCCACCTCCAACAACCAGGTTCCAACCAGGCTACTTCCGTGGTAGCGCTGGCACCAGGGCAGAGTACCACTGGACTCTGCCCACTCAGCAACCCACCAAGGCAGCCTACCAGTACCCCGCACAGCCGTGGTGAGGCACCAGGACATGGACAAGTTTCTCTTCTACCCAGGTGTAGTAACCAGTTATTGTGGGTGGGCTGTACTGCTGATTGTGTTTTGTGGGTGGGCTGCTGGACTAACCAGGGCACTGACCAGCAGGAGGTCAGATACCCTGTTAGTCTGTTTGGAGAAGGGGAGAGATGTGACGAGACCAATCTCGCCACTGTGCACTGGAGGAGCCTGGTTGCCTGCCTGCTGCCTTTTGACTATGGACCGGCATTTAAATACTTTATTTTCCTATGCAGAAAGGTCTATTCATGTATTTCTGCCCTGGCGCTCGGTAGATTCTCGGATTTACTGAATGAACTCATTTAACCCAGATAGCTATGCCATGGAGCCTATTCGTGTAATAAAAGACTTTGGATCCATGGCAATTGAACTGTATGTGTGTGGTCTGAGCGCCATTCAGTAATAATGTGCGCTCAGACCTAAGCTATCTGGGCATATGTTGCATGTCTGTATTTTATGTAATAAATGTAACCTTCTGTATTTTATTGTATTTTACTGTCTTTTTTTTTTCTTTGTATAAATTTTTTATTTTTCAATTTAAAATTTCATCCATATACACACTTTCATAGAAAAATAGGTTTTAAGATATTACAATAAATTAAGTATTGTACACATAGTTAATAAAACCATATTTTATACATTTATGCACTGACTACAATCAAATCAATAGATTACATACATTGACCTCTTTCTTACACTTCCACATAAAGCTGCTACATTACCTAAGAGAGGTTGTCATTGGAGGGAGGGGGGTTTTGGTTTTAAGACTAAGATATCTATACCAAGGGGCCCAAATCTCCTCATATTTCTCCTTGGATACTTTATTTATTGCTATACCTGCTTCCATCCTGCATTGATAATCCACTTGTACACAAATATCTTGCCAAACTAACGGGCCCATATTTCTCCAGTTTCTAGCTATACCTAGGTTAATTGCCATAAAGATATGGATCATAAGAATTTTTAGTTTTATATTGACCCTTGGCATGTTTAAGTGAAACAGGAACATTTGAGCCGTAATAACAGTTTGTGCCTTCAGAATAAAATTTACCAAATCCGATAAAGTTACTTTCATAGGTTTCAACTCATCACAGTCCCACCATATGTGAGAGAATGAGCCTACTTCCCTACCACATCTCCAACAATCTGGTCGAAGTGTGGGTTGAAATCTATGAAGGCGAGTGGGCACCAGATACCATCGGTACACAAGTTTAAAATACACTTCCCGTATATTTACCCCACGGATATGTCTTTTTACTAATTTTAGGCCCAAAAGCCAATCTTCAACCGAGAAGAAAAATGGAGTTCTTGCTCCCATTTATTCATTGCTGACACTTTATCTATTTGCCTTTGGCTTCTTATAAATTGGTTAAATCTGGAGGCAATTTTTTTCCTGTAATGGAATGCTATAAACTTGTCAATTTGAGAGATTTCCGAAAAAGTTTTTCCCATGATAAAAGATTTTATTCTTAAATAATTAAATATTTCTTTGGAAGGGAGGTTATATTTGAGCTGTAATGCTGGAAATGACAATATTTTATTATCATCTAATAGTTCTGCAAATTTTGCAATTCCGCACTTTTCCCATTCTTGTATATTTATGTATTTTATATAAAGTTTTAAGCATGTTAATGGGGCAATTCTTGATATATACTTAGTACCATATTTTTTCTTTAAATATTTTACTATATAGATCATTGTGTTATTCATCGGATTGTTAGATTTTATGTTTTTTACAAATTCACTATCGCACCACATAAGGAATAGAGGTTTGATATTACCCAAATCCGATTTTTCAATATCTAACCAAGTAGGTGTTGATTTTGTAAAGTTATCGCACTTAATTAAATGTACTACCATATTAATCGTGTATAATTTTTGTACGTCCGGAAAAGAAACTCCCCCCTCTTTCCAATCTCTCTGTAATATTTCCAATGACACTCTAGGTCGCCTGTCCTGCCATATATAATGTGATATTTGTTTTTGAAGACCGCGTATCATCTGGTATGACACCCTCAACGGGAGATTACCAAATAAAAATATCAGTTTAGGGAGTAGGTAGGAATTTACTGCTTCGATTCTTCCCAACCAAGACAATTCTAACCCTCTCCAATTTTTTAGGATACTCCTGAATTGGGTAGCAATTTCTGTATAGTTAAGTTCTCCAATTTACTGTCTTTTTATTGCCATGTGCTTAATGGAGTTTTGCCTCTGTCCTTGTAGAGGATTGGATTACTTCCCAATTATCTCCAGGATAGAAAACTCTGTGGAACTGGTTTTGGGCAGAAAAGCCATGCTTCATTTGGTCACAAAGGACTACGATCTATATTTTGAACCACTGGACCAATTTGTATGATTTTGACGTATGTTTGTATTTGGAGTATTCTGATTCTGAAAATGTAAATGTGATGCATACTTTTAAAATTATGAATAATGTGGAAAAACTGTATTTCTCTGCCTGTGATAATTACATTACCCATTGTGTAAGATAATTGTATCACAGGCAGAGGGGAGGATTTTGTGTGGGAGTGTCTGAGTGAATTGTACGTGTTTATTGGTTGTTTTCCAAAACCCTGTTGGTGGTACTAATGTGTAATAATGTGTATATAAGAAAAATAAACCCACAGCTCTGTCTGTTCACTGCTTGACCCTCAACACGGAGCCTTGTCTCGTTCTTGGGGGGGATATATTGTATGCTGTTCCAGTTCGACTGCTTGGAGTGTAAACCTATTCATATGGTTTTTACTATTCGGCGGTTTACGGCATTCTCATGGTTCCGGTTCTGCTGTTTCCGGCATTCATATGGTTTCCTGTTGGGCAGATTGGTGTCTTTGGTAGCTGCCTGTGTATCTGGAAGGGGAATATCCTCTAAACTGCATTTAACCCCTTTTATGCCCGGGGTGCCGTTACATAGGGATTGCATTGGCACTGTCGCAGCCACTAACGCCGCTTTGTAATAGTATTTTACGTCTGGCAGGCCTAGACAAATCTGACCATAATCCTCTGGAGTTTGGTGAGGTGTTTTGTAGGGATATTGGAAGTGTGCGCAAAATATAGTGGTACTTCTGAATCAGGATCATTTTTACCGCTGCTATCCTTCCCACCCATGATAAGTAGCAACCTTCCCATTTGTGCATGGTGGAGATGAAACCGTTGAGAAGCAGTTCATAGTTAAATTTATATAGCAAGGCCGGATGTTTTGTTAGTTTTATGCCTAGGAAGTTCAGGTAGTCTGAACTCCAATCAAAGGGATATGACGCCCCCAGCCTCTCCATCTGTTCCGATTCTTGCCCTAGGTACAGTGCTTGGGTTTTTTGTCATGTTTAATTTGTAATACGAGTACCTCCCATATGTTGCATTTACTGTTAGCAGGTGGGGTAATGACGTGCATGGATCTGTCACAGTGAGGAGTATATTGTCATAAGTTGGCGGTGTATTTCCTGTGTCCTATCTGCACTCCGTATATGTATTTGTGTTGTCTGATTCGGAGTGCCAGTGGCTCCAAAGCCATAACATAAAGCAGTGGGGAAAGCGGGCATCCCTGTCTAGAGCCGTTCGTTATGGGGAAAGGGTCAGACAAAAAGCCTGCGTTGAGCACCTTCGCGAAGGGTGTGGAGTATAGGGCCTTGACAGCCAACATGAATCTCTGAGGAATATTAAATTTGTTTAAGACCCCTTCAATAAAGTCCTAATGCAGGCAGTCAAAAGCCTTTTTCGCGTCAAGTGACAATATCAGTTCCCCCTCCTGTGTGTGCTGTAAGCCATGGATTATGTCTAGGACCTTGCACGTATTATCACTGCCTTGGCGCCGATTGATAAATCCCACTTGGTCTGAGTCAATTATGCTTGGGAGGACTGTGCTCAGCCTGGCTGCTAGAACTTTGGCAAATAATTTGTGTTCAGAAGTGAGATTGGGCAAAAATTTTGGGGGTGTGAGGGTCGTTTGCCAGGTTTGGGGAGTGTCACTATGTGGGCTATCAGGATTTCCCGCGGGAGTGCTCGAAGGCCGATGGCTTCGTTAAAAGTTTCTGTCAAATGTGGGACTAAGGTGGTACTGAATTTTTTTATAATAGCAATTTTTTATAATAGCAATTGGCAATTGCCATCCTGATGAAGGCTCTGTAAGGAAGCTGAAACGTTGATGTAATTTAGAATAAAGAAGATTATATTCTGGAAACCCTTGGAGTGCCGGTATTTTTTTGGATATATATATATATTTATTTATTTATATTTGTGTTCGGGGTATTCTCATATGATATAGAATACGCTGGTGAAAAGGAGTAAATAAAAAGGAATAGTCGGTTGAGGTGTGCCGAAACTGATGTATGCTGTAGTCCGGTAAATAAAGTGGGCAAAAAGAGATAAATCAAAGCAAAACATTTATTCAGAAACATATTACATTATTACATATTAGGTAGACATCTTAATGAAAGCCCTCCTAATCTCTTGTACTGGGTGTGGGATGTAAGTGGCGTAAACCGAGGACTTCCAGTGACCCAGTGTCTTAATTATGTGTGTTGGGATATCTTGGCTAGAGGCCATGGAGGCAGCTCCAATTCTGAAGGAGTGCCCTGAGTAGTTGCTAGGATTTAGACCAAGCCTGGTGATAAGCATACGGACATAAAGCATAAATCTAGCCGTGATAAGAATTGCATCATGTAGTAATATTAGTGGTTTTGTTGTGCGTATTGGTGTTGTGGCTAAGAAAGCGTCCAGCACCTTCACTGGGTACCAACTGTTCCCTATGGGGTAGTAGGTTATGTGAACCGGTTTCCCCATCTGACTTGTTTTGGTCTTAGGCAGGGTCAGGACGTAGTGGTCTGTGTGTTTCAGAAGGTAAGAGGTGAGGAGGCACCCTTGGCTATGGTGCTGGCCACTTATGGTGAATTCTCTTGGTCTAAGGAAACCATAAAAAGGCTAGATATATGGTGTTGTATACCCGTGAGGTACAGCTTAATAGTGTTATGTGAGAATTTAAATTTACGGTGGCAAAAAGATGCAAAAGTTATCAGTGAAGAAACCTCTAATCAGTTGGTTAGGTGATGGTCAGACAAATTGTTTGTAAAAGTGAAAAGCTCTGTGATATGCATGTTGAGTGCTGGTGGATAAGGCTAACTTGGTGAGAGCATGGCTGTGCTGAAGTAGTTCATCTACTCCATGATAAGGTCTTGGAAGGTTGGAGCTGGGATTGCCAAGCGAGCTGCCGAGGGTAGGGACAGTCTGAAGGCCTGAAATTGAAAGCGAGATAGCTAGTCAGCTGCCGTATTGTATATCCCAGGAACATGGGAGAATATAATGTGGAACTGATGGGTAGCTGCCAACCATGTCATAATCGCCAAGGAGGAAGAGCGGCCCTTATTGATAATGTGGCATATTGCCAGGTTGTCGGAAAAGCAGCGCACGGACTGCCCTTTCCACAACCTACACCAAGTGACAGCAGCGGCAACTATAGGGTATACTTCAAATAGGGCTGAGTTAGTGTAAAACCCCTCAATGCCCTGTGTTTCTGCTGGCCAAGTCCCCCAGAGCCATTCTATGCCGAAAATGGCCGCATATCCCGCGGATGATGCCCCGTCTGTCCAAACAGGTGACTGTGAATCAATCTGTGGGAGGAACATGCTCCTCCCATTCCAGTCCGAGAGGAATCTGTACCACATCTGGAGGTCAGCAGTCGCGGAACAGTCCAAGGATATGCGGACATAGTCGTTAGAGAAGGTGGGGAACAGGGCGAGGAGCCTGGGAATGAAAGCCCTGCCCTGGGGGATTATGCGCATGGTGAAATTTAGTGAACCCCAAAGTGATTGCAATTCTTTACAATTGCAAGACCCCCTGTGCATGTAGTGACTAATATCGTGTAGGATGTGATCGATCTTAACTCTAGGGAGGCTGGCCATCATAGTTGATGAATCCAGCAAAATACCAAGAAAGCTTATGATTGTGTCCGGCCCTTCGGTTTTAGTGGGTGACACGGGGATACCAAGGGAGGTGAGTAGCTTGACTACTTTGTCTAGACTACGTGGGGGTTGGAATTAGATTTGATAAACAAAAAATTGTCTAAGTAATGTGTCACATTTGGACACCTGCAGGTATTAAAGAGGAGCCAACACAAAGCTTCTGCGAACGTGTCGAAAATCCTCGGACTACTCTTGGCCCCAAAAGGTGAGCTTTGTAAAAACGTAGTAGGCACCTTGCCACTTAACACCATGCACGTGCCACAAAGAGGGGTTTATAGGTAACAATTTAAAAGCATTCACAATACGTCGTGCTAAGCCAGGCCCCCAACCCTGCCGATCTGATAGCCGCAATAGCGTCATCAATAGTGGAGTATTGAAGGGAAAATTCCTCAGAGGGAATCAACGAGTTTAGGCTGAAAATGGCTGAAGAGTAAGGTGCGGATAGGTCGATGATAAGTCTTAGTTTCTCCAAATTTTTACTGGAAACCTGCCCGATAGGGTTAGTTCTCCAGCTGGAAAAGGTGGGGTTACAAAAAGGCCCAATGACAAACCCCTGATCCACTTCAAGTTGTAACAAGGTAGTGACTGGAGTAGGGTGATTAGTGGTGGACTGCAAATTGTGACACTCTAATACCCCCGTTGGCATGTAAATGAGCCCCGTGTGAAAACCCTGGGTGAGACCTGTGCATAAAAATTCCACAAGGTGTATGGAGGGGTGAGTGGACAGCATTCATGCAAATACAGGAACGTTCACCAAATAAGGTTTCTGGTACATTTTATTTGGGCATATGGATTTCGCATGTGCCCTGAAACAATGCAAGCATACGTGTAATATGCGGCATGCGCTGTAACCGCAGGAGCCCTCATTGAAGTTGTTGCAAATCTGAGATTTGCCTAGGTACACTACTGGACGACCCAGTTTGTCTCTGGTCTGTTTCTCAGCCCTTGGGGGATGCTGTGAGGATGAGCCGGGAGTGCTGTCCGGACAGAGGGGGTAAGGATTAGCTGCGTGAGCGGGTTACGTACATATGGCACAAGCTGGTGTCCTAAGCCCCGCGAAATATCTGAGGAACAGTTCGTTGTCCAGTTGGCTCCAATCTATCTGGATGCCGTACTGGGACAACGTGGCCGACACGTTTGATGAAAAGGACTTGTGGTAATCGTAAAAAGTACAGCCACCATACTTATTACCTAGGTCCACCAGCTTATGCATATATAGATCCAGTTCCTCCCTCCTATGGGGATGAACTGCCATAGAAAATCCCTAAAGATACAGGGATTGTGTGTGTGTGTGAGGGGTGCTGTGTGTGTGTGAGGGGTGCTGTGTGTATGAGGGGTGTTGTGTGTGTGTGTGTGTGTATGAGGGGTGTTGTGTGTGTGTGTATGAGGGGTGCTGTGTGTGTGTGTGTGTGAAGGGGTGCTGTGTGTGTGTGTGTGGGGGTGCTGGGGGATAGGGTGCTGGTGGGTGGGGTAGGGGGGTAATGTGTGGGGGTGTGCTGTGTATGAGGGGTAGGAGTGCTGTGTGGGGGGTAGGTGTGGGGAGGGATGCTGGGTGGAGGGAGGGAAGGGAGGGATGCTGGGTGTGGGAGAGGGGAGGGTGCTGTGTGGGGGGTAGGGGTACTGTGTGGGGGGCTGGGGTAAAGGTGTTTAAAAAAAAAAAGTATGCTAAATTAGTATCCCCCCTCCCTCCTTCTTACCTTTAATGAAGGAGGGTGGAAGGACACAGCCATCCCTGGTGGTCCGGTGGTGGAAAGCTGTGTGGAGCGTTGCCGCACGTTACCATGGCAACGCTCCACACAGCATCGCGCGGGAGGACAGGAGAGCTGCTTCACAGATCCCTCCCCCTGCCTCCCGACACGGAAGCAGAGTAGGTGCCTGCCATTTTGGGCAGGCAGGTGCCTACTCTGCATTGATGGCGAACCTATGGCCGCATGCCCACAGAAAGGACCCGGCGTGCCACCTGTGGCACGCATGCCATAGGTTCGCCATCACTGGTCTAGACCAACGAAGGTAAGTAGGGGAAGGGGGGAGTCCCTTAAGTAGGTCTATAGCCCCTCCCACAACTTCAGGCTATGCCTTCCAATATATATATATAAAAATAGTACAGCGCTACAGAATCTTATGGTGCTATATAAATAATAAAATAATAATATATATATTTATATCTATAGAGCGAGAGAGAGAGACATTTCTGTAGAGAGAACATCGACACGGGAATCAGGTAACTGGCTGAAGGGAATTGGAAAAATGCAAACTAAAAGACATTTCTTGGTAAGAACATAGCTCCTCCTATGTGCAGTATGGAACACTAACATGTTAAATGAACGCTATAGTCTGAAATTGATCAAAATTACTCACCTCCCACTGCCGTGAGAGAATGCAATTTCACCATCATCTTGATTTTTTAATAAATGAAAGGTTGAATTAGGAATCACATTATTTGTAAAATTTGTTAATTTTCATTTTTACCAGTGTGACATTGTTATGTATAACTAATATTTTTG